TTATTAAGAAAGAACTTGTGTCGCTTAAGTTTCGTCGGAACGAAGTTACGGAAAGTTAATTAACAAACGGAGACGTAACAATAAGTTTGTGTGAAAAGAGTGATTGATTGTATGTGAGTGTGTAGTAAAAATACGTTTGTGTGAAAAGAGTGATTGATTGTGAGTGTGTAGTGAAAATAAGTTTGTGTGAAAAGAGTGATTGATTGTATGAGAATGAATAGTGAAAATACGTTTGTGTGAAGAGTGATTGATCGTATGTGAATGTGTAGTGAAAATACGTTTGTGTGAAGAGTGATTGATTGTATGTGAATGTGTAGTGAAAATACGTTTGTGTGAAAAGAGTGATTGATCGTATGTGAGTGTGTAGTGAAAATACGTTTGTGTGAAAAGAGTGGTTGATTGTATGTGAGTGTGTAGTGAAAATAAGTTTGTGTGAAAAGAGTGATTGATTGTATGTGAGTGTGTAGTGAAAATAAACTTGTGTGAAAAGTGTGTTGACCAACATAACATCCTTCCAACATAATGTCTCAATACTGATGGTACGTATCAGAATACGCTGCTATTGAACGGTGAACAAATACTTTACTTTAGAAATACGTCAGCCTCAAAACGACACAAAAATCAATTATTTTATCGGTTGTGTGCGGCTTACAACTCTTGTTTATAATGAATCCTCCGGTTCTTCGATGTTTTTTTTTCAATATGGATTATATGCCACCACACTGGCTTACAACCCTTGTGCGTAATGAATCATCCGATTATTCATTTTTTTAATTTTCAAAACACTTTAACATTTTTACTAGCGACCTGGAATGGCCTGGTGGTTGGGTCATTCTACTCGTAATCTCCAGGTCGTGAGTTCAAATCCCATTATTAAACACGCTCGCTTTTTTTAGCCGTGGAGGCGTTATAATATGACGGTCAATCCCACTGTTTATTGATAAACGTTTAACCCAAGGGTTGGCGGTGGGTGGCGTTCACTAGCTACCTTTCCTCCAGCCTATCATCTGGGGCGCGCATATACCCGATTCGATTTTATCACTTATCAGAATCTCTACCAGCCTACCTTCAAACTGCAATTCTTTTAGGCAGGATTAGAGTAACCCTATGAAACCTTTGGTGTGATCAAATATATCCATCGAAAGGGTTTGACCTTCTGAGTTCAAAAATTTAGTTAGATCTGAAATTGGTCCAGAGATGACGGAGCTATAAGCTAGATGCTTTTACTGGAAAACAAACAAACTCGGAGTCATTCTAAAAAGTTAAATTCGTGAAACAATTTTTTCTGCGAATAAGTTTAAATTTAGCATCCAGACTTTAAGTAATACGTAATTTGATTACATATTATTGTTTTAGGGTGTGTTTGTGTTGTTGTTTTTATAACAAAGCCACATCGGGCTATCTGCTGTGTCTACCCAGAGGAATCATACCCCTAATTTTATCGTTGTAAATCCGAAGATTTACTGCTGTCCCAGTGAGGGACTTGTTTTAGAAAGATGCATTTAAATAGACAGTTACTATTTATTGTTTTATTACAAAAGCTTGTATCATTATATAAACATTACGAAATCTTTGAGGTTCTGCAGTTTACAAAGATTATCAATTCACAGTCGAAACTCTGTAATTTGATGTTGATTATATTTCAAGTTCAGAATAAACGAAGATTCTATGTTATTTACTTACAATTCAGACGTAATACTAATAACATTGAAATACATTAATGAAACATTATCAACACCCAGTCTTTGAGTTAGGGAAAAAATGTTTGGTGAGTTGATTCCCAAAAAGAGTTTTCAGTTCATACAAACCGACAAAATCGCTATGGCGAAGGTGCTGCATTTTCTTTGGTGGATAGTTTATAATTAGGGACGACTGTATTGGAACTTCATGGGCCTGTAACATGTGCATAGGCTACCATTAAGGTTAAGTGTCCTATTTCTGTGTTAGTTTTCCAAATATGTTTAGCTTATCGGCTCAAATTGTAATATAAACGATTTATTGAGAATTGCAAATAGTTTTTAAGTACAGATCGTTGTTATTGTCTGGAGGAATATGAACAATAAAAAAGTTGTTAGTGTAGGATAATTTAAGCCTATTCTTTGTTGTTGCTATTTTTTACATTACATTACCTCTAAAATTTCATTATTTTTTAATGCAAAGCACAGTTTAAGTAGAATATAGAATTTTAGCAGCATAGTATCTAGCCTTTTTGTTTAATTTTACTATTATTATCAAAAGTCTGTTTATTGTGCTTCTGTAGAATAACCACACATATATATTAGTTAATGAAACTGTTACTAGAGGCCTTTCCAGGCTACTCTGTCACGTGGTTTCCCACAAGGCCAAATATTAGCGTTCTACAGATATGTTTACGAATTAAGTAGTGGAAACGAATCGAAAGTGTATCAGACAAAGTACAGTTAATACACAAGTGTGCTACGACATTACGAGTACATAAAGTAAACAGTTAAATTACGTGGCGGGTTATTGGACGAGTGGAACTGGTGAGAATGCTATGTTTTCTTTAATTAAAAACAGTACAAATTATAGATTCTCAATATTTTGAGGATTGGATGTACCTGTAACTTGCAAGTTGCACTGGTATTAGTACACTGAAACTGGCGTGAGGAGAAGTAGTTGTATTTGTATTTATGTGCTTACTAAATATTAATTGTATTTCTGTTATATGTGTCATAATATCTGCCAGAAAAGATGATGCATGACAGCCAGCGGTAACTCATTTGGTTACTTACTCGTTTATGCTGTCAGTATCACTGCTTACGTGACCGACAAGCTTTGTATAATGGATTTACTGATACATATCAGTTGTTTGGTATTGGTAATGTGCTTGCAGAAATATTACTGACTAAGAGCATACTTGTTCTGCTTATTAAAACTTATTCGGTATTTCAATATTAGTTTAATTTTCAAAGCATTTAACGAACGCCCAATGTACATCAGTGTGTGTTCATTGAAAAAGATAAGAGTTGTTCACTTGTTTTGTTTCTACTTTATCATCGCGTATTGAGTCTGCTAGAGATGAAGCCATATTTTCAGATTATTATTAGTAACAATAAGTTTGTTTTATTCGGCTTTATTCTGTAGTTACTCGCTGCATCAAATAACAGTTATACTTATAAATCTTTTCTAATTTGTTTTGTGTTCATGTATTTTGCTCTGAAACTCAAAGTTTATTAAATTTTATTAAAAAATTATATAAGAAATAATATTGTACCTCTTAGTCTTATGTTAGTTTTTGAAGGGGTATGTTCAAAACTACCCATACTGTTATTTTTGTAAGGCATACTATTGGCACTAAGTAAACGATCAGATACACATAATATTTAAGAGAATATTTTCTCTTCTTTTTTGAGTGGTATAAAATCCATGTTTAACAACCTAATGAAATAAACATTAGGTAATATCATTACTGTTCTGTTTTTTATTTTTCCTAAAGTTATGAAATTAGTAATATCAAACTGAAACTGCTGTATTTTTGTAGAGCTTCCGAATAAATACTGAATTATTCGAATATAAATTCAGTAAAGTGGCTCTTGAGATTTTTTTATGATATCCTGACATGAGGATGGGGAAACTAACAGAAGGCCATTTGTTACACTAGGTCTTAAAATATTCACACTTAGCAAACTAACAAGCTAGAAATAAAAGAAGTATTATTAAAAACTTGATTTTCAGAATTTGTGGTGCATAGTAGGGGGACTTAGACGTTTTAGCAATAGAGTTAAAAAACGACCTTTACTCACAAGATAATAATAAAAAAACGCTTTGCATTTTTTTACCATTACTACTACTAGCCCTGATTAAGTCCCACTCAAAACATTGGCTTTAATATAGTTTTATTATTATCTGGAGTGCAATTGTTGTCTCCCCCCAAAAAACTATCATTGCAGGTTTATATTTCTGAGTTTGTGGAATAAGCTATCTGTTTAGTTTCTCCACTTTTTCAAGTATCAAGTCAAAAATTGGTGGCATTTCTGATGTTCTTGTCAAATTCATATCAAGAGTAAATGTCTCATTGGCAGTTGTAGAATTTATTTCATAACATGCTTCTTGAAGTTCATAATCTTGCAAGAGAAGCAAATTTTAATTCAAAGCATACCCCTTTATAATTGTATTAATTCTGTATTCTATTAATTTTGGGTGTTTCTGTGGCAAAGATACTGTAATTAATTTAAGTCATCAATAGGTATTTTGTGCAAGTAGGTGAAGTTTGAAAAATTTAACTAAAGCACCTTTTTTATTTTATTAGCATAATATACTTGTTTAAAAATTAGAGGGGCAAGCTGTCAAAGTCTTTTCTTAACTATGGGCAGAAAAATTTGGAGAAAAAAAATGCATTATTGCTGTGGTTTGGAACTTTCAACCTAAACAGCACATTATGTGCACTTAGACTAAATGGCTAGGTCATAGATTCCTAGGGTTCACTTATAATCATCCCTAATTTTGAACTATTGACCAGATTATTGACCAGTATTTTAGATTAAATTTCATCAACCAAACAACTGCTGCAAGTGCAATATATTTTAAAATTGACCCTACATAAGCAGCATTCGATTGCTGCTATTACGAGTTGCTTTTTCTACCATTCTAAAGAGGGTTAAGTACGTTATATTAAAAATATTGTGGTTCTACTTGATGACTGTGTGCTTGTTGATAATAGCCCTGCCGTGTTTTTTCCATTGTAAAGGGCTCCGTTATAAAGTTATGTCCAAAGCACAACACCCCTCCATGCTTGCTTTCCATAATCCATCTAGTGTACAAAGGCGACAATTTTCTAGTGCCTGTTTCAACAGTCCCATAGCTCAGAAATCCATAGTTGCAGCCATCCTGCAACTTGAGTGGTATGTCTTCATGTGCAATAGCATGAATACGTGTTTCATTCTCTAGGTACCAGAGGTATGCAACGGTTGAAAGGGAGGTATGACTGGAAGCTAAAATATGGTGAACCCATCCCTTCTTGGCTTCGTTTCCTTTAAGACCTAAAACCCAACAAGGGAAATATGTGTGTATGAATGGTGGTGAACTAACTATCAATCTTCGTGTAGTAGAAGTGTGTTGCACAAGGCCATTCGTTTTAACTAAGGCAGCAAAAGGATAAGATTACTTATAATAACTTTTCTTTGTAACCGTGTGCTCATATTTTATTTTTTGTTGAAATAAACAGATACTGTTGTGATGTTATTGGTAAGCCATTTCAATTGATACAGTGTTTGGAACTAGTAATTGTTTTTAAGATTAAGTTGGAAAACTTGTCTTTTATTAAGCTCTAAAACTTAATATGTGAATAATGTTTAGTGAAGAACTTACTGAATTGGATAATTAATTCAGAAATACAATAACAGCATCTTTTACAGTAGTCAAGATCTAATTTTAAAGATTACAAAGTTTGGACCCATAATAGTCATTAGGTGAAAGTTACGTTTAAACAAGAGTCAAAACATTATAATAATTAAAATAAGAACTTGCCTACTGTAAAAGTTGTTGTTATTGTGCTTTGAATGTGTGAATAGTAAACTTTGCTAATTAACTGTATTAGTAATAATATACTATTACTATTAGTGTTAACCTACATATGAAAAAAGAGGAAGTTAAACTTAAAAATAAATTAAAACTGTCATTGATTTACAGCTAGAAAACCCCTAGCTACATGAGCATAATTTGTTTCAAGCTCTAGCTGTTATTTTTCAAAGATTCCTTGATACTTGGATAATCCCTAATGGTAATACTTGTGTGCTTGAAGAACTGAGTATGCTTTTCCTATTCAAGAGGAACCTGATGTAATCGGGCTGTTGAAAATGAGGTACCACAAATAACTGTACATTACTTCTTAAAACTGAAACTCATTTCCAATAATCTGATTTCATCAAGCTCCTCTTTGAGAGGATCATTGGTGTCATATAAAAGGGAAGGATTATGGTATGATTTCTGATAACTATGAATCTTTCAGCTTGGATTTTAGCTCTGATTGTATTTGTGGGAAGTTTGAATTTATCCCTATATTTGACTGATGGGACTTGAACTATATTTGGTTGGAATATTTTGTATAGTGCACTACATACTTGATACTTGCTATTGTTTTTAAATATTACAACTTTGAGAAGTGAAAAACTTGTTAAGGTTGTTTTCTCTGAGAATATATATATATATATATATATTTCAGATTTCCTATTTTTAGGGGTTTGACTATCTTACTATGAGTGATTTTTTTGTGTGTGGAATGAAAATTTTGAAAAATACAACTTTGAATATTATGTGCAATAGCTCTCAGTTCTGTATCCCTTGTTGTATACATGTTTTCAGCAAAATTATTTTTTTTTGTTCAGTTGCAGAATGCCTTGCCTTATGATGTGGTCACATTGTGGTGCACACATTTTTTGTAATTTCTTTTAAAAATTTTCTTTCATACAATATGCAAGATTTGTATATGTATAATTTGTTTTTATATTCTGTTGTCTAGTATTTCTGTGTAAAGATTGATTTGCAATCAGGAAATAATTTTGTGAGGAAATTGTTTTAATTTAGTGCAGAATTATGGGAGTAATGGTTTCTGTTCTTCCATTTGTCATGTGGTATATTGAGAATACATTGACGTTTATATCTTTCGGTAATATTACATTATTTAATGAAATGTTTTAGTTTGCTACATCAGCCTTATTTCAATAAATTCTTTGTCTTTTGTACATTATGGGAAACCCCTAATTCTTTTATTCCTGGCTTTTAATTCCAGTTGTGATGAGCAGCAACAGAAGCTTAGAATTATTTTATCACTACATGTGACATAAAAGACTACAGTTTGTTGTTTTAGAATATTTGGGCAATGCATATAATATCACATAGATATTGTTAAAACAGTGTTGTGCTTGATAATGTTACAACTCAATATGCTTCAACTAATCCAGAAGATTTTAAAGTAACTTATGTATACACTTATCCAGTTATTGAAAATTTAAACACACCTGGTTCACACATGTGTGGCGTGCTCTGAATGCAAAATAAATTGTTTGTTTGCTGTTAATCGCAAAGCTACACTATGGGCTATTATGCTATGCCCACCATGAGTATCGAAACTCTGTTTTTAACGGTGTGAACCGTCAGACTTAACGTTGAGCCACTGAGGGGCCAAAATAAATCGATTGAGAGGAGATAAAAAATTCTACATTCACAGGACGCAATAATAATGTAAGACTCGTCGTAACCATTTTCAGACCTGAATGATGTCACGGTTATCTATTGTTGTTTTCTTTCCGACAGTGGAAATGTTTAACCAAACTGCATGAAATTTGGAACCAACTTACTTTAAATAAATATCTAGTTTCAATTTAACGAAATTAATATAATTTTATTTACTTTTTCTATCATGTCTTATATTTCAAAATGTCCAAAATTGTCTTGAGACAGTTTTTTTTTTAAGTACAAAAAATGCTTTCTTTCGTATTAGAATTTCATTTTGTTTAAATATTAATCAAAGAGAACAATAATAGCATTCTCAACTTGCGAAGAAGCCGCTTGACTGCAGAACAAAAGATTATTCTTTCCACAGAAGGGCCTGATGTTGAACATTTTAACTATAAACGTAAGGTCAATATCTTCAATACTGCGGACAGGCTCCAGTTCTGAGTTTAAATATGCATAATTTCATTTGAGAGACACGTCCTTAGTGTTCTTCTAAAGTGAACAATAACTGGGAATATTTTCTTTTGTGTGTTAAAGACATCTCAAAACCATACATATGATGTACAGTTCACCACTGTATGAATCCTAGACTTGTTCTTTCAATTTGCCCTTTGTTCAGGGTTAATGATGGAATTCCCCAAAACCGATGTAACTCAGTGACAAGTAGTAAATAGGATGACAGATAACGCTTTTATATTTCTTTTTTAATGTTATCTGTTTAGCTTTATTATTATTATTATTTGCCCTACTTAATGAGTTTTTAATCTTATAATCAATTTTCGGTTAAATATCACTGAAAATAAACATTTAAGATCGTACAATATTGTTTTTTAATTGAGGGCCGAGGATCTTGTTTTTCGCGATCGATTTAAACTGTAATGAAAACTACTTCTACAATGTATACGAATTAAATTTGATAAAATTTTATTATAAAGTGTTAACCAAAACAGCGTTTCCCAAGCTTTTATCATCAACGCTCCCTTTTTTTAAACGAGTGAAAGAGTAAGTTAGTGACGAGTTGTAATACGCGGATACACATTAAAATTCTACATGTGTTGTAAAAATATAACGTTAATTTTCCATTATTGGATTATTGACTCTAGCTTAATCGCTTACGGCACACACTTTGGAAAACGCTGAACCAAAGTAATATTTTTCAAAATCGGTTTAAAAAAACTGTCACCGTAATTTTTATGAAAACGATAATCATACAGTCTATAATTTAAATACCAAACGCGATACAAGCCGATTTTAAATGTTAATTAGGCCGTTTTTATTATTATTTCTGGTGAACTATACAAGTGGTATCGGGTTTGAGTGTGATCTAGTCTGAATCTATGATATATGAATATTTATAATCATTGCGCAAGTGCTGCGCATGCGTGCAAACAGTTCGAAACTCGTGTCAAGGTTAGCTTTTTTTTTAAACCAGTGAAAAGTATATTCAACTTTCTTGTGTTTAAATGGCTTTAAAATTAGCTAAAATCATAAACGTTTCAACTTATTGCCTCAAACAGTTAAGGAAATTCTGGTAAATTCTTTACCAGCGTAATTTACCGCAGTACTCATGACAAAGCATTTTGACAGCTATCAGATTTGAGTTACATATACGGTATACAGTAAAGTCACGTTTACATGGTGAAATTGTTAATCTCGGCAAAACTTTAACTTAAGATTCCATTTCTTTTTGTGCAAACAAAGGGGTAGTTAACTTCTTTAACACCTGGATTTTGGAACGCATGGACAAAAAAGTTAGCCTGGTATAGCAAACTGTTAAATTTGTAATATTTATATAATGATTGTGTGCTTGACTTTTGACGTTAAAAAAAAGCCTCCCAGAAAATGTGGTACCTCCCTTACCCACTTGTAAAAGAATCTGGGTTTTTTTCTCATAGTCCTTGCGGACCGTTGAGCCCATGGCAGGTCTTGCTCTGCCATCGTTTCTAAAGCTGTTTCTTACGTCAAGGATGCAACCCACTTGACAGCCTTCCCTCTGTGAAAGGACGAGCATGTTTGGTGTGACGGGGATTCGAACCCGCGACCCTCAGATTGCGAGTCGAGCGCCTTAACCACCTGGCCATGCCGGGCCAGAATCTGGGTTATCTTACTTTATTATCCCAGCATTAAATATATGTATACATTGTGCTGAAGAAATGCTCTAACACTTTTTTTTTCATGTATGCATTTTTCAATTGCTTAATGGGTACAAGTACATATCAGTTACAAATTTACAAGCAATCTGTCAGTTAATAATACAAGAATAAGATATTGGCAATGAAAGCAGATATTTAAATGATTTTGCTAAGAATTTTGTATAATAACTTTAATTAATCTGATGAACTTTTGCTATAAAAATGGTTGAAATAATGGTTATCAATACTAAAAATGAGTATAGCGTCAGTTTAAAATTTTGTTGGATAGCTAACACGGTTTCAATAGGGGAAAATTTTACCTTAATAATCTTTTGACATTTTTTGAAGAGATTACTGCCTGTGTAGAGGAGGTTAAGTGTGAATTTGGTTTATCTGCATTTTTAGAAAGCATTTGACAAAGTGCCACCTATAGACTTGTTTAAAAAATTATCTGTAAAGGTGTGGAGCATAAGTTGGCTCACTGGATAGAAAAGTGGCTGGATGGAAGAAAACAGATGGTTGTTATAAATGTAGTTCAATCAAACTGGATTAATGTCACAAACAGGGTACCTCAGGATTCAATGTTAGGACCTTTTGCTCTTTTCAGTTTGTAGCAATGACATAGATGAAGGAATGGTCAATGAATTACTTAAATTTGCTTATGATATTAAGGTTTTGGGTGTTGATGGCTGTGAAGAGAATGCTGTTGATTTACAAAATGATTTAAATTACTTGATGAGTTGGGTGAATAAATGACAGATGACTTTTAATTATAGTCATTGCAGGATAATGCATGTTGGTTATCATAATTTGAATTATGAATAGTTTTGATGGGAATAACCCTAATAGTAGTATGAAAGAAAAGGATCTTAGTGTTTCGTTTGATCAGTCTCAATTCATCCAAGCAATGTACTACTACTAATGATAAGGCAAATAGGATTTGAGGTTTTATCTCTTGAAAAAGGATTGTTGGAGGGGATTTGGTTAAGGTGTTTCAGATTGTTAAGGGAATTGATAGTGTTGGGGAAACATCTTTTTTTCATACCTAATGATGAGAATGGGAGGACTAGAGGACACAAGTATAAATTTTGGCACAGTGGGAATTATCTTTAGCTAAAGCAGCTTTATTTTTTCTCACAGGGTGGCTGGCCTTTGGTGGATCAGGTTGCCTTTAGATGTGGTGGATGCATTAAATTTAAGGGAGTTTAAGAGAAGGCTTGATAAATGAATGATGAGGGCTAGCTTTGAGTTTTATTTTAAAGTCTAGTTTAGTGGATGGAATAACTTAGATGCACTAACAGATCCCTCATCCTTAAATGTTATGTTGTTATAATCAAAAGTAAGTTTGGCTTGTTAAATTATTGAAAGAGTGAGATTCTTGTGTGTCATTTACATATTAGAATTTTTTTTATATTGTTTTAGTATTACCTTACTTAAGCATACTTACCTGTTGTACGTGTACAATGGCAATGTTAGGAATGCCAAAATTTTTTTATTTAGAACTTCGTCATTTTTTTGCACATTTTTCTGGACTATTTGTGCACCAAATTGCTTGGGGCCCATGACTGTTGCTTACAGGGTCTTTAATAACATGAGAGAGAAAAAACAAATTGTAAACAAAAGTACCATCAGTATCGCAATTAATTAATGCAGTGGTCCTCTATGTATTTTACATTAAAAAAAGTGATTTCACCCAGTTTTTTTTACCAGTTCTTTACACTGAGTGTTATAACAGCCAAAAAGAAAATGACTGTACATGATGGAACTCCACTTGAGGTTTAATGCAAATAATATCTTTGCAAATGTGTAAATGCAAAATCTGATTGAAATAGAATACAAGTTTGTCAAGTTTTTGTATTAATAAACACTGTTATATACAAAACATTAGAGAGTATTTTTCCTGCTTTTAAATATTTGAGTGGTTGGTTTGTACATATAGAAATAATTATTCTAATTTTTTGTAAAATATGGCTTTAAGCACCATACGTGGTTTTCTGGAAATATACACTTATTCCCATAGTGTTAATAATAATTTCTAGACTTTATGTTAATCTCATTTTTATCATTATAGAATATTTTAAAAAATACAATTGAATTTCTTCCTGTTTTTGGACTAATAATTTTTTTAACATTCTTATGTATGAATAAGTGCTATTATAGATATCTAATATCTGAGGAAGACCAATGCCCCACTTCACCAAAGTATATAACCAACTAAAGTAGCCTTTCACATCTACTTAACTTTGTAACATGAATTTAAATTAATCTAAAACTAACAGCACATGCTGCATCATCAAGTGAACCATTCAACAAATTTATGAGGATTATATCTGTTTATGTTATTTAATACCTTGCATGAATTTCTTAATTTGTGGAAGGAAAGTTTGAAAGATATGTTGCATTGTTAAACAAATTATTGTATTTGTGCGTAAACCTTAAACATAGTTTTATCTTCAGAGTTTAGTTGTTTTTTTTTCTTATTGATACTTTCTTCCAAATAGCTGATTATACAGACAATTACTTAACTTCTAAGATTGTATAGAAATGTTTACTAAACTATATACTTCAATAATATATAGCTGTTTTTGTCAAGGATAACTTAAATATTGAATTTTAATAAAATGTTATGTTTTGACTATTGAATCTTTTTAAGTCTTAAGTTGAAGTGGTGTTGGTAAGTAAGTTCTGTAAAATTTTTGTGTGATTATATTAATTAGATTGTTAATAAGTTTTGTTTCTATGAAGCTTTTTCTTAACATTTTATACTGATAGATTCTGTTTTATCAGAATGTGGATCTGAATTACTTCATCTGAATTTGGAAATCACTGAAGTTCGAAACAACAATGCAGAGGATTAGACTTGCAACCTTTGATGTTACCAACACTCTGCTTAAGTTTAAGCTTCCAATTGGAGAAGAATACTCCCAGACATCAAAGCTTTATGGTATTCAGAGTGATGCAGCTCAGCTGAATGCAGCATTCAAAAGACAGTGGATAATTTTGAACCAGCAGCATCCTAACTTTGGAGCCACAACAGGACTTGAACCCAAAACTTGGTGGACGAATTTGATAAGCAGAACATTCCTTGATGCTGGATATGATTATTTGGACCAAACACAGCTTCAGACTTTATCTCGCCATCTTTTTAAAGCATACAGCAGTAAAGTTTGCTGGCAGATGCAACGTGGAACACGAAGCCTTCTACAGAACCTAGCAAAAGCTAATGTACAGCTTGGCATAATTTCTAATTTTGACACCCGCTTGCAGGGCATTTTGTCCGAAGTAGGTCTTCTGCATAACTTTGATTTTGTTATTGATTCATATTCAGCCAAAGTGAAAAAACCTAACCAAGAGATCTTTAACTTAGCCATAGAACGTGTGAAACATTTAGACATTCAACCAGAACAGGCTGTTCATATTGGTGATGACCTAGAAGTGGACTACCTAGGAGCTAGAAATGCTGGATGGAATGCTCTACTCTTAACTAAGAAAGAAAGCCTCTCACCAGAACAACTAAAAATTGTTAACCCAAATCACATCTTAAATGAACTTGGAGAAGCTGAAAAACACATACTTGAACCTCATGTTGTGAGGTCTCGAAACTAACCGTGACAAAATAAGAGTTTCTGTTCAGTCCTCATAAAATAAGTGGCTGTAATGAATTTGTTTTCTTTAGAATATTCAAAAAGAAAAAAAAAGACTGATATTGTAATCACTACTGAATGTTAAGATGATACAAACCTGCCTGTTTTCCATTTATTTTGTTTATTCTGTCAGTTGTTTTTGAAAATGTGAAGTATGTTTTTTATGTAAGTAAATTCAGTTATAAAAATAAATATCCTACATGTTGAACTTTGTAGGAAATGTTTGAATATGTCAACACAGTTATACGAGATGGACAAATCCTATTAACAAAGGATATAAGATTGAAAATTATAATGCTTTATTTTATGATTTACTGTTCAAGTATATGTATTGTCATTCAACAGTACTTACAACATAAATTGTTTATACATTTAGAGGAAACTACACTTATTGGCTTTTGTACCTTTTAGGGCATCTATTTGAAATTGTGTATGAGAATTATATGGTAATTTTTTTGGGGGGGACACTATGGTTAGTTTTTGAAAATAGTAAAATTTGGAAGAGTATGTAAAGTGGTATTAGACAAAGATAGTTTCATTAACATTTAGAAAGGAATTTAATTTCCCAGAGCTAGTCAGTGTGTTGGCTTTGTATCTTTATTTCTTATATAAAAATTTGACTTAGAAATGTTACTATAGTCGACCTATACAATTTTTGTCTATACGAGAAGTTTAAAAAGTTTCCTTATTTGTTTGTTTTAAATGCATATTTCCATTGTTATTTTACATATGTTTGTATATTATATACCAGTGAGGGACATTTATTACTTTTCTGTATCGTTAAGGATATATTTGGAATTCTTAATGACACAATTTTTCTGATTACTTTTTTATGTCAAAATATTCTTTATTCTTTGTATTAAACTTCATATTATTCAGCAAATTTTAAATCGGGTTTTATAAGAACACAGACTAGGTTAGGTAGAGCATATTGTTTGTTTGTAATTAAGCACAAAGCTACACAATGGGCTTTCTGTGCTGTGCTCACCACAAGTATCGAAACCCGATTTTCAGTGTTGGGATTCTGCAGACAGACATACTGGTGAGCCACTGGTGGGGCGAGAATATTGTGCATAACCTGGTGTGGGGATAATCATTATTTTTAACTGTATTGTTTTTTTGTGGAACTTGTGAGGTAGTGGTTATGAGAAGCAATACATTTCGTAAGAAATAATGCCTACATCTTTCAATGATATTTTTTAAAATTAGTAGGAATAATGCCTAAATAATACAAACTCGTGAGATTCTGATGTAACCAATGACTTAGAAAAAAAAACCATTTGAAGAATACCTTGTTTTTAGTGTGATATGTAGTGATAATTAGTCTTAAGAAGTTTATAAAGATACTAAAATTTATGCTTATACCAAGAGAACAGTGTTATATGGTTTATCAGCAGTATCTAGAAATAACCCAAAACACAATAATGAGAAGCATGTTTGAGATTTAGCAGAAAATATAATAAAAGATGTCATTTGGCACACAGTTCCTAGGTCCAGAATTATGATTTATATAGATAGTTTTAATTGGTGGTCATTTAGGCCCCATTATAATTTAGTTTATTTCACTTTTACACAGAAACATAGATTGTTATACATTATTGTAAAATTTATAAGTATCACAATTGACATGCATCTTTAACATTGATGAGCTATTAAGTTGTAGTTCTTGCTACATGCATTAGGGGAGCTGTGCACCAAATTACAGTGCTTGCAATACTCAATCATTAAGCATCTGGTCCTATTATCGGGCTCATAGGCATTAGTGAAAAACAAAACCAAAAAAAACTCGCATTTTCCCCAGCATCTTATCAATGTATTATTTATAATTACCAGTTTTCCAAAAGGTTGGTTGATCCAAGTCCAATGCAGCATCACATTGAACCAGGAAATAATTCAGATTATTCCATTTTGCTTCATTGAACTAAACTCTGGGGGTATGCCCCAGGCCACCAAGTGATTATTTCTATCGGCTTTCGTAGCTCTTTACCACTTTATAAACTTTTAATTTTTCAAAAATCTCGCTCAAACAGATACATATGAATTTGATGTGCGTGTGTGACTATGAAATATTGCACTTAAATGTATCCTTACACTTTAATACGCTACGCTTTACATATTAAGAAACAGCTTAATAAATCTGGTAGAAGCTGACGTGTTTAGTGTTACACATATGTCGTAATTTCGAATATTTGAATCCTTGCAAAATTAGATGTTTTCAAGTAAATGCTGTGTCTATTTGTTTGAATTGTTGAAAGGAACTGTTAATTAAAGATCGGTATCGGTTAGTCATATAGGTTTATACACTAGTACGTGCGGTTGAGGCCGATAAAGCTGAACACTGAACAAGTATGTGAATTTGTATTTATATACTAGTATATTTTTGTTAGTATAAAATCGTGTATTGATATATTTGGATGAGTACAAATAATGATAAAACCAATTAGAAGCGATACTTATATAGCATCGCGTACATTTCATAGCATCTGTAATAATATAGGTTATAGCAATTATTATAGGTTATTATTGTATTCCTTGTTTATCGTGTTAGCCAACATTTTTTAGTTTTTAGATATTTGTGGGTGTGTTGAAGGTAAGTTAATAATTCTTTGAGATAAAGCCATTGTATACAGATAATCTAGTTGTATTATTCAAGTTTCATTTATTGTGCATCTATGTATAACGTATAGTTATGAAGATTATTAGTCTAACTTGCTATTTTCTCACCTGTATAACAGATTCCACCTAAGTATATGGTTGGAAATAAATGGTTTGGTTTTTGAACAAATGTGGAATTCGTTTAAATGAAACCTAGTAATTTTGTTATCTAATCAAAAACACCTTATGTGTGAAAAAAGGATTGAGCGTACGACTTGAAATGAAATCAAAATTGGTGGCCAAGCTGATAGCTACACTTGTAGCATCGATAAGAATTTTACAGAAAATATTCGTTAGTTAGTCAGGCCGTGTTTTTTGTTCAACTTGGGGCATGACGGTGGATAAAACAAAATACGCGGCATAGCTAACTAGTGAATGCTAAAACAGTAGCTACCAGTTTGGCCGCCAGGTTTGGCGTCATTCCTTTAATTAATTCGCAGTCTCAATCCTTTTAGACATCGATAGTAACCAACATTATAGCTTTTGAATTGCAACCCTATTATTTGGAACAGGCCTATGCTTTACAGAACCAACCAGATTCTTTGAAATACATGGTGGTAGTTTTTCCTCTCTAAAACAGTGTCAATAATTTCCTTTATAGTAACACCATGGAATCTAGATTAACAGTTTATTGTCATCACCCGCATGCACTCTGTACAGCCGTATCAAGCATCATCATTTACGATAATTGCTTGAGTTAATATCACATGACGTAAAACGCTCTTTAATTAGGAGAATTCGTAAAATTTAGCAAAGCTGGCAATGAATAATGAATACTAACCGTCCACATTGATTGTTTTGAAAACTTGAGCTAGAAAGTGCTAATCTAGTTTGCGTGGCCTAACTAATACTTATGTATCCACATGTGTTTCCACTCTTTATAGTTTTGCTGCTCTAAATCAGCCGTCTTCAATCCGATTGACAAGAAACTAAACGCAGTTCACCTTTATTTTTAGGTGAAGCTGTAGTCAAAATTTTAGAACGATAGCTCACGTGACTTTTTTGCGTAAGAGTGCGCGAAGATTTTGGTCAAGATTGAACAGTGGCACAGCGGTATGTCTGCGGACTTATAACACTAGAAACCGGGTTTCGATAGCATTGGTGGGCAGAACACAGATAGCCTATTGTGTAGCTTTGTGCTTAACTTCAAAGAAACTAACACTATTTAATATAGAGATAGCGTGCTGTTGTGAAAAGCATTTTTTTCAAACGTACACTTAATATAAATAATTTAATTTACAAGATATAATTTTAAATAGGTTACATATGCACTAAAATGCAGTATGTATTTATAAATTCAACTGCAATGGAAAAACTAACTTGTATCGTGGTTTCCGATTAAGTTTTGTATATTTGTACTGAATATTCCAAATAATTGTACATGCACATAACTCCCCATAGTATCAGATGTGTCTTGTAAGATTTTCAAACAATATGCTAATATTTTGTTGTTGTTTTGTTGGTGGTACGAGAACAAAATTAACAAAGCAGTGCATTGAAAAATTGTGTTTATTGTATGTGAATGCTATAAACAGGATATTCGAAACAGTATAGCTGTGTAAATGTTACAGTGGTTACCTCGAAAAGGCTAAATCAACAGATTGTTACACAACTACAGAAGTGTTACCACAGACAATTGTATACATCAAATTCCTCACAGTAAAAAAAAATAAATGTGTATTTGAATTACGATGATCGCAAATATATATATATATATTACATTAGTTATTGTTACGCCTCCAGTCGTTAATTAATTTTCCGTAAATTCGTTCCGACGAAACTTTAGCGACACAGGTCCTTTCTTAAATAAAACTGGTTTATTCTTTCCGAATACAACTTTACGATACACTTAATTTCAACAGTCGTTCTATAACAAACACTATAATTCACGTCTCACGTCGCCAACAATATTTTATCCGCATACATTCAATTACTCATTACACTGTTGTCCCATCACGTTGTGACCGTCTTATATATATATTATGTATATATATATATATATATATATAAGACTAACACATATCTAGTAAATGCTAGAGCATTCATGAAGGTTCGAGAAGGAGTGGCGTGATACTAGTCACGTAACCTCACTGACGCAACAATAGTTTTATAAATACCACCCAAATGTATCTATTTGAAACTTTCGCGTATATAGATTTGTTTTGATCAAGACCACACTTTGTAGGTGAAATAATAAAGAAAGAAATATAATAAATAAAAGCATATGCAAGAACTGAAACGCTCTCTTTCTCTCTTTTATTATTATTATTATTTGTCTTCTTCAATAACTGGGCACCAGCAATGATGGAAACCTAACTTGTAAGTGTATTACGATTAATTGTTTTTTTCAAAATCTGGAGACTCCAATAGACAAATAGATGTTAAGCAGGGATGGTCCAGATATTTTATGAAGACAAACTGTAGGAATTTAAGCAGGGAGACGAATAGCTTAAGGAAAGATTTTTTTATTTATAATTTATTTAAGAAAGAAGTATATATATAGAGCAAGAACTCAATCATACAGAAATGTACCAAAAGTGGTTTGGTATACAATTTGCAAACGTAGACCAACCACGCATGACATAATCAGTTCTACGTAAATAGACATTTTTTATTTTAGAAATATGCTCATTTATATGATGGCACCAAGTTAATTTATTGTAAAAAAATTCCTAAACATTTAGTAGATTATCGTGAAGTTTAAGTTTGACCTTTCTATTTTTTTGAAATATTTGTTTAAACTCTTATGAAAAATTATTGGCTGAGTTTTATTTGTGTTTAAAACAGTACGCGCGCGGAACCAAAAGCGGGTAATTTTATTCAATGTTTGTTTGTTTGTTGTTAAGTGTAAAGCTACACAATGGGCTATCTATGTTCTGGTCACCACTGGTACTGAAATCCGATTTTTAGCGTTATAGGCCCCCAGACTCAGGCCTTCCGCTGAACTATTAGGGAGACTTTATTCAATGTTGCCTGAACCCTTAACAGCAGTTATCACACGGTTAATTGATGTGTTCCAAACAGCAATGTAATTTTCATATTAAGACACAGAAGTAACGGTAAAAGTAAGGTATATAAATAAGTGAAATTTACGGATTCTTGAGGAATACCATCTTGGAATAGGTTAAAATATTTTTATTAGTTCGAACTCTAGGAAACACGAAGTCCGGGGTATAAACAAAGAAATATGGAGCTCTAAAACATCGTTAAAATAAAAGCAAAATATTCAGCTTTTTTATGTTTTTAAAAGCTATTTGGCTTTTATACTTAATACAATTGGAAGAATCACCTGTAATAAATACACTTAAATTACTGTCAGAAAACAAAAAGGTTTTGTCGAGAATTACCTGTTGGAAAGTAAAAAAGTTGTATTTAATTAACTTACAAATATCACTATTAACTTCATTTGATTCTTGGATTTTAATAAAAATGAATATTAAGGTATTAAGATAAACAGAATGTCGATGGTTTCTTTATTTCTTTGTTGAATATCACACAAATCTACTCGAAGGATTTATTTGCACAATAAAATTTTGCTTTTAAACATTGACTGTTGCTTGTTGAAAATACTGATTGTTTCACTGTGTTTAACTTGTGTCCCGTCTCTTTCTCTTCATCAAACTCGGACAAGGTTGGAGAATTCAGATTTTACTAAGTAAAATATTTTGTACGAACCTACTACTTTTCTATGGTTACTACCAGATTACTTTAAGGGACATCATTGAACTTGAGAATGATAAAATAACTTTAAGTAACGTTAATCAGACTATTTCAGTGGTTTGGGTATTAATTAGTGGGACGGGAATTTGAACCCGCGACCCTCGGATTACGAGTCAAGCGCCCTAACCAACTGGCCTTGCCAGACCCGTATATATGGTGTTCGTGTGTTTGAGCTCGAAACACTGTATGATAATACTTTAAAAAAAAACTGAAGTTTTATTTTACCTATATAAATGTCACTGGTGATTTTTGTGTTTTTTCGTTTTAATATTCTATAATGTCCACAATTCTTATTTTAGTCATAAAAAGGTGACTTTAACTTAGACAAACAGATGTTTTAGCATAGGTTATATTGCTACAAATTTTTTACGGAAATACATGTACAAACATCGTAGCGATAAAATCAAATAACTGTGGAAAGAATAACGACATAGATTTGCCTTATATACGATTAGTAACTGACTATGTTTTCATAAATCAATATGTGAGTATGAGACACCAAATGTATTTTTTTCATAGTGGATCAGATACACAGTAAACTTGTGAGTAGCGAAATAAAGTTAATTGCTTGATTGTTTAAACATTACTCAATTCTTTAGAATTTACAAGCAAATATCACGGAATCATGTTTTCCAGCATTTGTTTTTGCGTTTTTATTTCGACATGGTGAAATAAGTTCTGGTGCTACCAGGTCAGAGTTTATTTGTAAAAATGACCGTAAAAACTAAAATTTAAGACCTATTAGTAGTTATTATTAATAAAGTCTAGGTACAAACTATAACTTCTCCGTTGTACTGTAATCTGTGTTACTAATACTAATCTGTTCAACTTACTATTGTACAGGAAAACCCCACTCCTTTGGAATTGGAGTTATCTAAATAACTTAAAATATCCAGTCCGAGTTTCTTTGGTTTTATGTGCTACCCACTAATCAGCAGTATATGATGAGTTGAACTTGAAGATAACATGGTTATTATATGTAAAAGCACACCTAATGACTTTTTTCGCTGAGGAATGTGCCTAATATTTACTAACCCTAGCTATGAGTGAAATCATTCTTCATACACAGTTATTTCATTCACTAAAAAAAAATTGCATTTCGTTAATATATATTTATATATAGTAATAGTAAGTATTATATTTTTCATATTTTGCTAACATTATGGCAATATAAACCTATTTATATCCGTAAATATTTGTTTTATTGTATCACATATATAATCCATAGTATGCTAAAATGAAACTGTTTAATAAGAAAGTATTGATAAAATTAATCAAGAAACTAAATTCAAATAACATAGGTAAGTGAAATATTTAATAATAAAATGAGCAATGCACTAAAATTGTATTCAATCTAAAATATTAACATAATATTTTTTTACAATTGTTGAATTTGGTGGATCAAAAATTAACATTTCTTGGACTTTTGAGTGGTATTGCTGTATATTGTTCATATTGTTAATAATGTAAAACTAATTTCATTACGTGTTTTAACTGTAAGTAGCAATATATGGACAAAAAGAGAGACCATTTGGACCTTCAAGTTCAAGAATGTTCTTGCACACCCAGCCTTTAGAAATATAAAAATTTAAGCCTATTGTATATTTTTCTAGAAATCATTGCCCTTACCCTCTTAAATACCTATAAAGTTATGGCCTCCATTAACCCAGAACAACTCACTCCCTAATTAAAATTTCTTAACTGGAACCTAATTATTTCTATGTAATGAACTTTTATCTTCTCAACCTATTATTTTCTGAATACAACATAGTAAAACTGGAGGCCTTTGTGCTACTGATCCCCTGAATTATCTTGCAAACTTTGATAAGATCATGTCTTACCCTTATAAAATATCCCTTTCATCTGTGGAATTATTTAGTGGTAACCCTATTCTGAACCCTGGAAAGGATGATAAAGAAACATATTTTTTTTATGTGGCCTTAACTTTGCTACTAGCCAAAGAGCATTGGGGTGATTTTTTCCTCAGTCCATCGTATTATTAAGAGGGTTCCCATCTACATTAAAGATGTGGTCCAAATTATGAAAACATAAATACATCATCTTGCACTTACTCTAATTAAAAGTTATTTGTCAAATATTTTTCACTTGATCCAAGTCATTTTGTAGTAACTCAGCATCCGCAGTACAGCTATAAATACCCGAGAGTTGGCTGTCATCAGTAAACTTTACTGATTTATTAATTGTACCTTTGTAAATATCATTAAATAAGAAAAAGCAAATTCTCAAGCACCAATCACTGAAACACTCCACTAATAACAAGAGTAAACTTTGACTGGACTTCATTAATAATAATCTCTTGCTTTCTCCTATCCAACCACTTTACAACCTAGTTAACTAGTCTTTCCCCAACTCTTATCAATGTGATTTTCTTAGCTAATCTTACATGTGGCACATACAAAAGGTTTTTGAAAGTTTCAGTGCACCAATCCTTCTCCATCATGTAGATAAGGTTAAAAAAAGAAAACAGATAACTTCATTTTGGTGATTCTATTAGTCTTCTTTTACATCATATATCACTAAATGATTTTGTTAACTTTTTTTTATCAAATTAGAATTTTTTACACTACAGAAGTAAAGCTAACTGGTCTATAAATTCCAGGGCAACTCTTATCCCTTGAAGGGAAATTTTCTTATAACCTATTATTTTTCTCACACTATTAAGAAGTAGACTTCTCATTGTGGATTAAACTAATTTTGTGTCCCAAGTCAGCTTTCAGAATCCTATGGAAGATCAAATATCAGATATCTAAGTATATTTCTTTTTTCATTTTTAGTACGTTAATAGACAATGGTCAGGCGAGGATTGGAGAGTTGCTAATGTCACTCCCATTTTTAAAGGAACATGATTAACAGGATCTGCCTCTTGTATACATGTGTGATTGCATAAAAGTTTCATCTTCTGACCTTCTGAAATCTGTATAAACAAGGAAAATAAAAAGTTGATTTTTATGATTGAAAAATTAATACTAAATAATTCATTTTGCCCAGAAACATTTTCCTTACCATTATTCTTATATATATATGTAATATTTGTGTGAATTTTCAGTTATTTTTTCATATTTAACTAAGAAGTTGGCTATACTCTCCAGTTTGTTTTCCATTCCAGTATATATAAAACCAAGGATATTAGTATAGGCACATGAGAGAAGCTTTCTTATGTATTATGAATAATTGATGCTAGACTATTTGTGGATATTTATACTAATACCACATTAGTTTTTGAAGCAGTTGTTTGGAGTTGTGTTGCTTAATATTATGGCAGTTGTATTATGAAAGTAACAACAATTTTTTGAAACAACTAAGGATGATGTAGGGATGGTAATGCCAAAAAAGTACAGAAACAGAGTAGGGATGAATGCACAAAACCATACAAAAATCTCTACATAAGTAGCCAAATATTTCCAAGAAAAACTTTTATATACAGTTAAATGTTGAATTCCTTTCATTTGCTAATTCCCATAAGATTGTAACATTGACTTAGTGGCTAGTTATGTAGGGATTTTTGTATAGTTTTTGTATATTCATTTCTTTCTTGTTTCTATGCTTTTTGGCATTGCCATCCCTACATCATCCTTTTTTTTTCAAAACTTTCATTACTTGTTTGCCTTCTTTTTTTAAACAACACCAGTGAATATTAATGAATAGCAGTTTTAACCTGCCATGATGAGTTGTCTTGATGGATATCATGTTGAAGTTGGTGAAATGCTGTTCTGCACTCCCCAAGTTAAAATGCAACATTTTGGTGTGTTAATCATTGTAACAACTTCAAGCATTGATGAGCTAGCTCTTCCAATGCCAGAATCAGAATGATCAACTGAACATTTTGCTGTTATGCTACTCACCAGTTCTCTATTTTAGCTATGTTTTTTGGCTAAAGTTAGGTGTTTTTAAAAGTCTCTTAGATTAATATAAGAGAGATTTCAGACCGTGATAAGCAATACATTTTTTCCTGGCCTATCCACACATACTAAGCACTACTGTGCTTAGCTATAATGAAAATTTATTTTAGTATACATAGTGTATTCTATTTTCACTTATTCTTTTTCACAACAGTGTATTTTCTTTTGAATTAGTCTTTCATTTATTTATCCTTTTTTTTCTGAAACATGCCAATGGCTCAAAAGTACCTTTTTTATTCACTTCATGTTTTTTTTAATTACCTTATCTTTATGTGTTGTTGGCAAGCTTTTTTTTCAATCTAATATTTAACCTCACATGCAAATATAAGTACTATTTTTATTTTTTAATACTGAAACAATTGCATGTAGTGAACATTAGTCATTATTTTTGAAAGTTTGGTATATCTTTATTAAGTTTTTAATTTCTTGGGATAACTAAACAGTCAAAATATATTTATTGTTCTAGAAAAGATTTTGATATTATTTTAACATTTCCTTTATGAGGTTTAATTGCAAACAGTGAATTAAAAAATATCCATATTGTCTTTCTATATTTTAATTTTATGACAAATTATTAATAAGTTTTAATGATTTTGTTTATTTATCCTTGACTAGGTACAACATTTAAAATGAGTTACCCAAGTAAAACAGAAGTTGGTGACATCAAGACAAAAGCTGACAGCATATGTGTAAAGACTTATACTTTTGGGCCATGGACATTAATTACACAGAAAAATCATATTCTTCCATCCAAATGCTCAACTCCTCAAGTTTGTCATCAAGAGAAAGATACCACAGATTCTTATCACTTGTGTTCATTTTGCAGGTTAATAATCTGTTTACTTTTAGAGTTTTACCAGACAAAGTAGAAAATTTAATGATGTACTAGTAGTGCTACGAGTAAAAAATCAGCTTTTAGCCTGGATGTTTCAAAAACTTCATCTTATATAGATAATAACATAGTTTTTGTAGTCCATATCAACTCCTTGAACCTAAGTGGACACTGCTATCATCCGGCCCAATTTACCCATCAGACACTGGCAGCATTTGATAACATTTATGTATCTTTGGCAGAAAACTAATCCAAACCATATTATTATCCACAAAATTAAGAAAATTGAATTTTTATCAGTTATGGTGATAATTATCAGGAAATCATGAAAACGTGCAATAAATTACGGGTTTAAAGAGTTAAGTATGGTCTCACCTCTTGCATTATCTTTTGCTATATTACACATGTAAACAAAATTCAAATAGGGCTATGCATATATTGGAAATTTTTACAACCTCTTTTGTTCTCTTGCATGATTTCTGATGGTTTGGACCTGCTCCTTATGCATCCTTTTATTATACTATATAATCACATATGATGTGCTGTAAGGTGACACCGAATCAGCTAAGTTATACTACAACATGTACATTACTCACTTGGCTCCACTTCATAACAAAACATTTAAGAGCCACATTTTATCTTTGCTGTTAGGCTGTTTGGTCATTTTTCAATTGTTGTTTTATTTAAGTTTCTTTGTATTAGGTCGTTAAAAAAATAATGTCGTGTTTTGGAACACTTTCATTAACTACTCCCCCCCCAAAAAAAAACGTACATCACATGTGATAGTTAAACGAACCACCTAAATGTCACATTAGTGTAGCTTATATAATGTGTAAAGTTTAGTATACTCTAATCCCTTACAATGATGGCACACAATGAGACACATATTTGGCATGTAATGCTGTTTGAATACAAGAAGGGAAACAATGCCTCTGTAGCCACAAAGAATATCAAAGAAGTTTATTAAAATGTTTTGAACATTTGTAAGTGTCAACGATGGTTCAGCAAATTTCATACAAGTGACTTTAGCCTTAAAAACCGTGATGGCAGGAGCTGACATTTTGGAATTGATATTGATGCTCTGAAGATGCTTGTTGAGTCTAACCTAAGGCAACACACTCGTGAAATGGCCCTGAAATTGCATGTCTCTCATGAAACAATATGTAAACATCTAAGAAATGTGTGAAAACTACATAAAGAAGGTGTTTAGGTGCTTCACAAACTCTCCAATGATCATAGTTTCCAACGTGTGAACATTGCTTCGTCTCTTCTAGCACATAATGTGCGGGAACCATTTTTGGACAGAATTGTCACCGGTGATGAAAAATGGATTCTCTATGTGAATATTAAACACCAAAAACAATGGCTCAGTCCTAGACAAAAACCATTTCTGACCCCAAAATCTGGACTCCATGTGCAGAAATTGATGCTTTGCATTTGGTGGGACATCAAAGGAGTAATTCATTTCGAACTCCTCAATCCACAGCAAACTGTCAATGCAGAGATCTATAGTCAGCAACTGGAATGCTTAAATCAAGCCTTTAATAAGAAACGCCCTTCACTTGTCAATCGGAAAGGTGTTCTTCTTCTCCACAACAATGCACGTCCACATGTGGCATGTTTGACGCAACACAAGATTATGGAGTTGGGTTGAGAAGTTCTCCCCCACCCACCATGTTCTCCAGATATGGCACCATCAGATTACCATCTATTTTGTTCGCTGCAACACCATCTTAATGGGAAAATGTATGCAAATGTGGAAGGTGTTAAAGAGGACATCAACATGTTTTTTGCTTCAAAGCCAAGTGATTTCAGGGCATATATAAGTTGTTCGGGTTTTTCATCCAAAAAAGCAATGTTAATTTCTTGACAACCTAATATTTAAGCATAATTCCCAGAGGCACAAGACCTCACTTGTTACAAGATATAGGTTGCCACCATTGAGAAGCTATCAGAGAGTGGAACAACAGACAAGGCAGATTTATATTCTCCCAGTTTAGATTTTTAGGGGTTTATTGTTGAAGAACAGGAGGCTTTAAACCTATAGACTAGTATTCTCTTTTCAAAAATCCAGTTCTTTAAGGTTTTGGATGGAGAGACCTTAACCAACTGGTACAAGCAGGCCAGTGAATAATTAACCTAGTTACTCAAAGTGCTCATTTTCATATTTCTTTTTTTATCTAATGTTTAGAAAGTTTCTTTGGTTCCAAAATGGATTGATTATGTCTTAGTTACTATATATTGGTCTGCCTTTGATATACTCCTATCTCCCTATATGCTTTCAATGTTGGTGAGAGGTTTGGTAGTTCAGATACATCATTTTCAACTAGATTTCCATCAACACAGCATGCTGATGTTCTTCCATTCAAAGCAAGAGGTTTTCGTATAATGGAATTAGGATGGTACATTAACATTTAAATACTTACAGTACCATATTAACTGAAATATGCAACTAATATAACATATTTATGACCTACTTCTTTATAAATGTGGATAACCAAATTTTAGGTAACATGAGAATTGACAAAAGAGTGGGTATGAGCCTGGCTCTTTTAGACACTTTTAAGAACTCTTATAAGGACTGGTATAATAGAGACTGTAATTAAAATCATAAATAATATTCAATGTTAAACTGGTACACAATTAAAAACATTTTATTTAGGCCTATCTATGGCCTTCAAAAAAGTTGACGACTCTACATGTTTCGACGTTACAACGTCATCCTCAGGAGGCTGGAATCTTATATGTTTCTCATTAGTTGTGAAGTGAAAACCAATGAAACAAATACCTAAACTTTTTAGATATTTTTGTATTATATAGTGGTTAGATAAGTATTATATAGAAGCTCAATACATGAGCACAGTTCCCACCTCATTAGATCCACCTGCTTGTTTATGTATGCCACCTTGTACAACTTACAGTGTGTTGTTTTGAACAAACAGGCCTTGGGAAGGTGCTTCTTACTTTTGCTTACATATTTGTATTTTGACTACTACAGTGACTGCCAGTAGTTTTCTGCATTGTGGTAAGATTGAGTAGTTTATTGTGACAGTATTCTGGTCAATAAATAAGGATGCTTATGATCCTGTGTTTTCCATTCTTGATCTGCTGGAGTGGTTGTATTGATTGAATACTCTATTTGCTGTATGCTGAACATATTCCAGAAGATGCAGATCAGTGTTCTTATCCAAACTAGATTATGTTGATAAGGGGTATTGCATTCACAAGTTTTCAAGTAGGTAAATTATGTGGTAGACACTGATGCTAGATGCATTTTTACATCTCCAAGACTAAACTGATTGTTATTTGGCTCTTTGCATTGTGCTGTATGGCAGCAATGCTAATGTACTAATTGACCTGGCATAGCTTGGTGGTTTGGTCACTCAACTCACAAACTGTAAGTCACAGAATTGAAATCCATTGCAAAACATCCTCACACTTTCAGCTGCAGGGACATTATGATATGATGGTCAATTTCTCCATTCACTGGTAAAGTGTAGCCCAAGACTTTGCAGTGGGTGGTGTTGAGTAGCTGCTTTCTCTCTAGTTTATCACTTCAAAATTAGGGACAGCTAGTGCAGCTAGTCTTTGTGCAAAATCCAGGTGATTAGTTTACACTGTTTTTGTTTTTATTCAAGAAATTCTTACAATGTGGTATTGGTAGTGCTGTGGTAACGTTTTTTTTTTTACTGAGCCATCTTTGTATAGCAGAACCATTGGCACTTTTGAACTAGAAGCATGTTCTCTAACAAATCAAATCTTGATGTTTCGTCTTTATTACCCTCCAGATTTATGAATCTGTAATAGATGTCAGTAATGTATGAACTAATAAATTCTGATTTTTATACTTTGAGAATTTTCTGCATTGTGAATACATTTTATTTTGTGATGAAATGGGGTGGGTTGGTGGTGCAAGGGAGAAATGCCAATTTAAGAAAAATGTTTATGTAGTTTTGGCCTAAAGTATGTTTTGATTATGAAATTGTATTCTAAAACATAATGCCAGTCTTTTTGCAAGCTTTAAAAATTATTTCAATTTAGTCTTTTGTTTTATAGAACAGTACATGTTATTTAATACACTGAAGTAAAAAAGTACATCTTACAAACTTATATGAGCTAAAAACTCATAATAAATTAATGTTATTCACAAACAAAAAACAACAACAACAATATATACAGGTTAGTTTGTAGTATTTTTTTAATCTGATTCTTCCCCTGAATTTTTCAGATTTCAACAAGAATTGACCTTACCTCAACTTCCAGAAATGACTTTTGCTGATAATTTACTACAGATAAAACATGAAAGAGGATTTGGCATAGAATTTAACTGTCTTGATGCTCTACGTCTTGTAGACACAAAAAATGACATAATGAAAGTGGCTGTTGCTGAGGTTTGGCAAAATACAAGGTAAGTAATAAAAAATAGTTAAAGTGATGTCTTTTTTTTCTTCTAGTCATACTCTGTAGTAAATTTTATCTAATACAGTGGCATTAGGAAGCATGCAGTATGTGCTGTGAATATTTATTTGTAACTCCCTTTTATAGACAGTGTAAAAAAAAGGATTGGCTTGTGATCTAGTGTTTTAAGATTGATGCATGAGACACTTTCCTACGTATCCCTCTTGACCCATCCTCCATATGTTTTCTACGTTACATCCATCAGACTCACACCTTCCAATTCTTTACTCTTTGATATAGCATCAGCTTTTTCTGAATTAATTTGTATTGTGAGAGCCTTCACTCGCCATATCCACAGTCTGGGGATGGCATTCTTTTTCTTGGATGATTGATTTCTATTGGCCCATTTTCAGATGTTATTATTCTCTCACACCTCCATTTTCTTGCATTAGGCTACTTGGTAGTGGTGGATTTTCATAGATCTATGTCCTTTTTCACACCCACCCAATATTTCATACTTTTGGGAATTTTCTTTGTCTCCTGTCTCAACTGAATTCAGCCTCCTCCTCTTTATCTGTGAGCTATAGCATATCTAGTCACCAAGATTGGGGAGTCTGGCTTTCCTAGAACCCTTTATTCCTTTGGGGCATGCACACATGCATCTTCTCCAGTGAACCTTGCAGAGGATTCTTTTTTGTGTTCCATTGTCCTTGTTTGTGAATTTCCCTTCTCCTCTCCTCGAGGAATTGCCATAGTGCCTGGACAGTGCCCATACTAATTTCAGCATTCCCTTACCAAATCCCAAGCCTGATCTTTCTCATCACTGATGCTTCCATCATTGATTGAGGTGCATCTCTGGACAAGGACATAACTTCTGGTGTTTGAATGCAAAACAAACATTCACTTTTCATAACTTGCTCTATTATTTCAATGTTCATTAGGCATGTATCTATTCTTGCACCTACTTGTGAATCGCTTGGTCATGATACACTCTGACAATTCCATGGTTGTTTCTTACATCAGCTGTCCAAGAGGCATACATTCCAGAACCCTTTGTTTTTGTTTGTCAGACCTACTTTTCTGGGCCCATTCATATCAAGTTTATCTTCTTGTTTTTCATTTGGTGGGAGCTTAGAACATGATGTTGAACTGTCTCTTTTGGCCAATCTGCATTCTAACAACAGAGTGGTCTTTACACTCCCAGGTCTTTTGTTGGGTTTGCTTTCAGTTGGGCATGCCTCTTAAAGACATCTTTGCCACCATTCTCAACTCCAAGCTTATTCTTTTCTGATCCCCTATTCTTCATCTTTTGACTCTGCCTGTCAATGCTCTCAGCCAGGCTTGGTCTCACCTCTTTCAGGATGCCTATCCTCCTCTTCATCTCCTCCCTCGGGTCCTCACCTTGATATGTGACACTTTTTGTCAAGTCCTATTTTTGCTACCTCTTTGGCCAGTTTAGCCTTGGTTTCTTTTGCTTCTTTGCTTAGCATCCAGACCTTCCCTTCCTCTACCTAATATCCCCTTTCTATTACTTCGTCCTCGCATGTCCCTTTTTCATCAAGAAATATCATCCCTCCATCTTCACATGTAGGATCTGTTTGGTCACTTACCTATCGGGCTGGACTCTCCGATCGTTTGACAGTTCTCTCTACTCTGTTCTGTTTCTCATTCTTCTATGCTCTCTTCCCATATACATGACTGGGACCTTACTACATTCTCACACATGTTCCATTTGCTCTTTGTGTTGTCTTTCTCTCCCGATTTATTTCCTCCTCCTTTTTTCTATGATTTCTGTTGCTTGGATGTCTATGCTATTGTTGCTTCTCATACCCTCTTGTATTGCACTTATACTTCTCTCCCTGGACCAATCTTTCCTTTGTAAGGTTTCTACTGCTTGGGAAGGTAGCCATACTTTCTTTTCTGTTTCCCTTCCTTCGGTTTCTCACTTGTATGGCCGTTCGGACCCAGATCTGCTCCTTTGTTCTATTCGTTGTTGCTTATCACAGAATTCTCCCATTAAGAGTCCCTGCCATTGTTTGTTTCTACCCTGAGATCCTCTTCTTTCAGGAACTTTTCTCTTCTACCCTTATGGGATGGATCTGTTGACTCCTCTGGTTGGTATATTTTTCTTTGAATGTAGATGCTCACAGGCTATTTAACACTTCACATTTGATTTGTCACCTGACTCTATTTCTCGCTTCTAATTTTCTCCAGCATTTGTACATGATCTTCCAGGTGGGCTTGTGGATGACTCCCCACATGTTTGTCTCTTATTATTTACACCATCTGGCTGTTTCTTCGCTTGTTGGATTTTGACTTCCCTCAGTTGCTATTCTTCAATTAACTCAACATCTTGGAGAAGAGTAAGTACATTTTCTGACATGTGGCTGGTGTTGCCTCCCAGGGTGTGCTTATGTCCCAAAATTTGCATTGAGTCAAGATAATGGAAAAAGCTCAAACCATCTGCACTGGCTCTGTCAGTGCCTATTGTGAGATGGGGGTATTCCACAAGAGCACTTGAGGTATACATACTTACTCAATTGTCTGATCCAGACTGTACTATTTCTATGGACTATCATGGAAAACACCAGCACCAGAGAAGTATTCTGCTCACTTTTTTGGCTCATGCTTGCCAGCTTTTAAAAACAGAGTTTTGCGGTCACCAATTGCACTGTCTCCAGTCAAAAACCTTTCTGGCCGGTGATCCAATGGGGATCCAGGTGCTTCAACGAGTCTCCCCAACATGAATTTTCTTCCACTCCCTTTCTTTGAGTGAAGAATGAGAGACTCTTGCCACTTACCATTTCCTAGCCATTGTGGTGGTGGACTATGGAAAATCCTCATGGTTGGGTTTGGTACAGTACGGTGAGAAGTAAGGTGGTGATGACGCTGTCAGTGTAGTATGTATGGGTCATCTCTCAAAAAAACATGTTCCACAAAACTACTGTGCCCTCTTCCTGCAGCCAGAGCCTATTCAGTAGAGTTGAAGTGTGCATACACAGTACGGTCTGGTTGTGCCCCCACCACACTACATATATTGGCTCACCTACTGTTTGTGTGCAAGTACTCGGATGGACATGTTCTCATTCCACCTGTCCTTGCACCACTTGGGCTCATTTGCCTCTCCCTCTTTACATTCCAGGTGAAGAGTATACCCTGGTCAAGAAGAGATGCAGTCTCCCACAGGTGTGCTCCTATGGAGCATCTGCCATTGGGTGTCCCAATCAATGGGCTTCTCTTTGAAGGCTTTCTGAAGGGATCTCATCTAGGTAAAATTTTTCACAGATCCCTCCACCATTTCAACATGGGATTCTAGCATTTCTAAGTGCAGTGATGAGTTATCATCTCCAAAGTTAACATTTTCCTTACCTGAAAGTGTATTTCCAATAGATACCTTTTCACACATTCCTATCTGTCCTCTCCACTTCTGTTACACATTTTGTTTTTATTGCCTCATCAAAAAATGAGGTTGTTGCAAGTGCAAAGGGGAGGAGTTCTGCACATGGCAGTTGTATCACTCTCCTCTTGGTAGAGGACTTTTGTTGCATGATGATGTCATCATGCACCAGCACAGTTCATGTTAAACACGTGAATTTAGCTAGAAATTACCTCAAGGCTAGTGGCATCCAAGACTCGTAGGCAGACATATGAGGAAAATAGCATTTCTGTGTGTAGAGGTGAGTATTTATTGCAAATACATTTTCAAGTAAGGAAAATATTAACTTTAGTTACTTACAAAAGCTTTTGTCTAATTAAATAAAATGTACAAATGTGAAATTAATTAATGATGTAAATCATGAATTGCTTACCAATCTATAAAAAAACAAACATTAAAACAAAAGTACAAATAGTAAAAGATTACTGAAGTAGTGAGTTTGATAACTAAAAAACACAGCATCCATTTTGTCACAGCTGTCAGACACCATTGTTACAGAGTATTAGTGAAGTATTTTAAAGTTCATGGGATAAACTACACGGTACTTTCCAAGTATTCAGGCATGCATAGAAAAAATGTTTATAGTAATCCAGAAGGAACAAAGGTACCTGGCAATGATGGACTTAAAACGTAATGCTATGAATTGGGAGGTAGGCCACTTCTTCCACTGTTTGGAGCCACAGCATGTGAAGTATTTGTCAAGTGCAAAAGTACCCATGATATGCAGGGCATTAAAAATCACACTTATTTTGTGTTGGCTTCACAGATTTTGTTATGGAACTCCTGGCTCAGTTGATCCCTCAATCTTAACATTAAAATAGTAAATTTCAAATGGCTGTCAAACTCAAATCATTCTGATTTTTACTCTCTTGGTCAAACTTTTCTATTAGGATGATTTATAAAGGTTCAGTCTTTTCCTTGTTTTCTAAATAATCTATTACTTGAATTTGTATGATGCCTGTAAATAATAAAATTCCCATTAAAATAGTAACAGTAGTGCTAAATTAGCTAGAGAAAGTCATAGTAGTTTGAAAATTGACATGTATTTTTTCTTTTTTTGTAACAGTTTTTCATCTTGTTTGTCATGTCATGTGCTAAACTTAAGTAACTATATGTAATCTCAGAAATTATTAGAATACCTTTCAAGTCCATAGAATAGCATATTCTAATAGTAAGGAAACATAAGAGAAAAAGGTTGAATGCAATAATTAAAGCTTGTATTGTTCTTACAATACTTATGAGATGTACATCTAACAGCATTGCATCAAACCTCCTATTTGCAATGCTTGTGACTGAAGAAGTGTACCTGTTTAGTGCTGTACCATGTAAATGGTTACAGCCATATAGGACTACACTTACAATTGTTTTGTGACAAGGGGGTTGATATTTTGAATGAAATCACATATGAATCACTATGTTTTTGTTCTTGTGGTTCCTTTTATGGTTTATTTTTATGTTTTGAATTTTAGAAATATTACTATTCCTACATGACAAAAAAAATTAAAGTATTCCACACCTAACAGATGATTATTTTATTTTATTTTTAGGGCAGAATGTAAGTATGTTAAAGAAGTAATAAAGCCATTTGATTGGACTTTCACAACGGCCTACAAAGGGACATTGATGTCAACAGATAACTCTTTGCAAGTAAGATGATTTTTTAAGTGGAAATTCCTGTATGTTGTGTTTAATAGAAGACAAAAAATTGAACATTTATGTTCGTTATCATTATTAAATGATAATGCATTGTTCAAACCTATTGTTAGATTCACCAGTTAACATTTTCGTTCTTAGCTCTTGAAATAAATGTATATGAATATCTGTTTAGTCTGTTATTTATATAAATAACAAGTGGGGTAAAAATTAACAAAGAAATATGTAAACAATTGATAAATTCTTAAATAGGATATTTTATTTGAGAATATGATTAGCTGAAACTTGTATTATTAGCTGACAAAGTATTGAGATAACATTTCAAGTGCTATTAGATAACAGGCTAATCTTAAATTATGAAAGATAAGAAAGACTTTAAAGATACTTATTGTGCTTTAATTTGTGATAATAAATATAAATTGCAAAATATTTCTATTTGTAGAAAAACAAACTTGAAATAAATTTTTGTATTACCAAAAATGTTTAAGGAATGCTATTAAATCCAATTAAAGCTGAGGGAAGAGATAAAGTTGAAAGTTGATTGAAAGAAAGAAAAGTTTCAAACTTCAGGAACTCTTTTAAATAATAATAGGTTGTCATGATATAAAAGACTGTTTGGTTTAAATATTAGTGATAAACTTATATTTATGAGTGAATACTTTATTATTTGTAAGTTTTGTTATAATAAGAGTTAAAAGCAGACGATTGTAGAAGGTTTTGTTAATAACTAATTGGTGTCAAGAAGATAGAAAGTGGCCAGATGACTATTTAATAAAGATATAAATAGCATGAGATGAGTGGGAAGCAGCAGACAGACGGTATTAGACAGATAAAAGCAAAGAGAATATAGTTGGTGTGAAGTTAAGTAACGTAGATGTAATAGGCCTAATGACTGACATAGGCTTAACGTTTAATATGTTAGAGAGAAACTAACAGTAAAGAAAAAAAGATAAGAAGGATAATTTTATTCCGTTAAAGTGTGGTTCTAAAGTAATTGAATTAGCCTGGGTACCCTTTGATAAAAGGAACAGAGGATCTTCAGAAGAAAAAAGACCAAACAAATTACGGTAACTTGCACCACAACTCTAACTGTAAGTGAATCACACACAGAATACTAGTAATAAATTCTGAAATTCTAAAGTAATTGAATAGGTCTAAGTGAACTATTGACAAGAAGAAGAGAACTATATATGAATGGTGTTTATGATATGCCTGTAATCTCTATAGTGTGAAGACTTTGTTGTACATACGTTTAACTTGTTTTGATTATATATATATATATATACTAGCTGAGTTACCCGGCGTTGCACAGCGAAAATTTAGATTTGAAATGTATAGATCAGTATTTTTTTCGGAAAATTATTCAGTAAGTAGACAAAAGCTGTGATGCGAGAAATAAAAAAGCATTTAATCAAACAAAGCTTTATAGTTAAAAGCACTTAAATTCCACTGCCAAGCATTGAAGGCTTGAGATCGTGTTGAGTTTGTCTCCCACCATAACGCTTTTTATGTGCAAAATGTGCTTATGTTTGTATGTTTATTACAAAAAATGGTGCAATAATCATTAATT